ATCTTTAAAAGGGCGGCACGAATCAAAAATACAGGGCGCCGCGACCGTAAAACCACACAAGTAAGCGGAGCTCTTTTCTTTCTCGATAACTTGGAGGGGCCCGTCTGTCATTTTTGAGAGCTCTCTTCTGATCGGAAGCTCTCTTCCATGTTTTGAAGAGAAGGGGGGAGATGGTCAGGAGTTGTCGCCCCTGACTAAGAGAGAAAGGAGTCTTCTTGTCGACTGTCGACAGAGAGGTAAACACACCTCTCTTCTTTCTCGAGAAATTGGAGGAGCCTCTCTTCTGAGTTGTTGGGGTAGAAGACCTGTCAGGGGATCTCTTCCTCCATCAAAGGGTACAGGAGCAGCCCTCTTCTGTCTTGCGAAATTGGAGGGAGCTTTCTTCCTGTTTTGGACGATTAGGTAGAGAACCCAATAACTTGGAAGTGCCGGTCTATCGCTCTCTTCTGTATCATTGGATTCAGCGGGCTTTTCTGTTTGGAACGAGGAAGAGGAGATACTCAGGAGCTTTCTTAATTTCCCTTGCCAAGAGAGAAAGGACGCCTCTTCTGGCCGACTGAGGGGTAGACGGAGCGCTCTTCTCTCTCGCGAAGTTGGAGGGGCTTGACTGCTATTTTGAAACAGGGCCCTCGTCTGTCTCACAAGGTTGGAGGAGTCCCACCCTCTCTTCTTGAACGTATAGGGTACGCTTGCTTCCCTCTTTTGCAAGGTAATGGGGGTAGTCAGGGTCTCCTTCCCTTATACCTAGAAAGAAGGAGGTCTCTGCTGATGGGTTAACGGAGCTCTCTTCTTGCTCGATAACTCGTAGGGACCTGTCTGTCTGTTTATGGAAATGGAGCTTTCTTCTGTCTCATTAGATTGGATGAAGCTTTCAGTCCCCTCTTGTCGAAGATGAGGTAGAAGGCTTTTCGAGAAGTCAGGGGAGCTCTGCCCTCTCTTGCCACGGGGTCTCTTCCTCCACCGAGAGGTAACGGAGCTCTGTTCTAGAAAGCAGCTGTCTTCTCTGACCAGGAGTAACTTGGAGTGAGTTCTCTTCTTGTTTGAGAGGATGAGGTAGAGGGCTTCTCATCTCCTTTTTGAAGGCCGGACGAAGGGAGGACCAGACGTCTCTCGTCAAGGTTGGAAGTTTGGAAGAGCTCCATGCTTTCTTCTTGATCGTAAGCTCTCTTCCTTTGTCTTGTAGAAGAGAGGGAGTGGGGGGGTGGCTCTGTCCTCTCTTGCTAGGAGTGAGGTCTCTTCACTGTTCTCAAGACTAAGACTTACCAAGAGGTAAGTAATGGAGCTCGCTTCTCTCACCACGAATAACTTGCAGGGGAGCCCTCTTGTTGTTTTAGAGCATGAGGTGGAGGAGTTCTCTTTCTTGTGGAAGGTTGAGGAGAGGACCAGACTTCTTTGTTTGAAGGTTGGGGGAGCCCCACCCTTTTTCTTGAGCATACGCTCTCTTCCATTTTCTGAAGAGGTAAAGTTTTGTATAGGCAGGACCACCTTCCCTTACCTAGAGAGAAAGTTGGCCTCCTCTTGATGACTGAGGAAACTACAATATCCTTTAAAGGGCGGCACGAATCAAAAATACAGGGCGCCGCGACCGTAAAACCACACAAGCACAAAGGGGCTAAACCCGCTCAGGGCAAAACCCGCACAGGGGGAAACCCGCTCAGGGGCGAAACCCGCTTAGGGAGCGAAATGCGCTCAGGGGCGAAACCCGCACAGGGGCGAAACCCGCTCCGGGCGAAACCCGCTCAGAGGCGAAACCCGCTCAGGGGCGAAACCCGCTCAGGTGCGCTCTGGTCTAAACCCCTCCCGGTTTAGATAGTTTGGGTAGTTTGGGCCCTTCCCCGTGCCACCCCGAACTATCTAAACTATCTAAACCCCTCTCTCTCCAGACCGACGGGAGACCCCCAAACTATCTAAACTATCCAAACTATCTAAACTATCTAAACCGTTTAGATAGTTTAGGTAGTTTGGGTGGCACGGGGGAAGGCCCATACTATCTAAACTATCTAAACTATCTAAGCCCCTCTCTCTCCAGACAAACGGGAGACCCCCAAACTATCTAAACTATTCAAACTATCTAAACTATCTAAACCGGGAGGGGTTTAGATAGTTTGGATAGTTTAGATAGTTTGGGGGCTCCCGCTGCTCTGGTCTAAACCCCTCAGGGTTTAGATAGTTTAGATAGTTTCGGTGGCACGGGGGAAGGCCCAAACTATGTAAACTATCTAAACCCCTCTCTCTCCAGACCAACGGGAGACCCCTAAACTATCTAAACTATTCAAACTATCTAAACTATCTAAACCGGGAGGGGTTTAGATAGTTTAGATAGTTTGGGTGGCACGGGGGAAGGCCCAAACTATCTAAACTATCTAAACCCCTCTCTCTCCAGGCCAACGGGAGACCCCCAAATATCTAAACTATCTAAACTATCCAAACTATCTAAACTATCTAAACCGGGAGGGGTTTAGATAGTTTGGGTGGCACGGGGGAAGGCCCAAACTATCTAAACTATCTAAACCGGGAGGGGGTTTAGATAGTTTAGATAGTTTGGGGGCTCCCGCTGCTCTGGTCTAAACCCCTCCCGGTTTAGATAGTTTAGATAGTTTAGATAGTTTGGGTGGCACGGGGGAAGGCCCAAACTATCTAAACTATCTAAACCCCTGTCTCTCCAGACCAACGGGAAAACCCCAAATTATCTAAATTATCTAAACTATCCAAACTATCTAAACTATCTAAACCGGGCGGGGTTTAGATAGTTTAGATAGTTTGGGTGGCACGGGGGAAGGCCCAAACTATCTAAACTATCTAAACCCCTCTCTCTCCAGACCAACGGGAGACCCCCAAACTATCTAAACTATCCAAACTATCTAAACTATCTAAACCGGGAGGTGTTTAGATAGTTTAGATAGTTTGGGTGGCACGGGGGAAGGCCCAAACTATCTAAACTATCTAAACCGGGAGGGGTTTAGATAGTTTAGATAGTTTGGGGGCTCCCGCTGCTCTGGTCTAAACCCCGCCCGGTTTAGATAGTTTAGATAGTTTGGGTGGCACGGGGGAAGACCCAAACTATCTAAACTATCTAAACCCCTCTCTCTCCAGACCAACGGGAGACCCCCAAACTATCTAAACTATCTAAACTATCCAAACTATCTAAACTATCTAAACCGGGAGGGGTTTAGATAGTTTAGATAGTTTGGATAGTTTAGATAGTTTGGGGGTTCCCGCTGCTCTGGTCTAAACCCCTCCCGGTTTAGATAGTTTAGACAGTTTAGGTGGCACGGGGGAAGGCCCAAACTATCTAAACATCTAAACCCCTCTCTCTCCAGACCAACGGGAGACCCCAAAATTATCTAAACTATCTAAACTATTCAAACTATCTAAACTATCTAAACCGGGAGGGGTTTAGATAGTTTAGATAGTTTGGGTGGCACGGGGGAAGGCCCAAACTATCTAAACCCCTCTCTCTCCAGACCAACGGGAGACCCCCAAATTATGTAAACTATCTAAACTATCCAAACTATCTAAACTATCTAAACCGGGAGGGGTTTAGATAGTTTAGATAGTTTGGGTGGCACGGGGGAAGGCCCAAACTATCTAAACTATCTAAACCGGGAGGGGTTTAGATAGTTTAGATAGTTTGGATAGTTTAGATAGTTTAGATAGTTTGGGGGCTCCCGCTGCTCTGGTCTAAACCCTTCCCGGTTTAGATAGTTTAGATAGTTTGGCTGGCACGGGGGAAGGCCCAAACTATCTAAACTATCTAAACCCCTGTCTCTCCAGACCAACGGGAGACCCCCAAACTATCTAAACCGGGAGGGGTTTAGATAGTTTAGATAGTTTGGGTGGCACGGGGGAAGGCCCAAACTATCTAAACTATCTAAACCCCTCTCTCTCCAGACCAGCGGGAGACCCCCAAACTATCTGAACTATCTAAACTATCCTAACTATCTAAACTATCTAAACCGGGAGGGGTTTAGATAGTTTAGATAGTTTGGGTGGCACGGGGGAAGGCCCAAACTATCTAAACTATCTAAACCGGGATGGGTTTAGATAGTTTAGATAGTTTGGATAGTTTGAGCCCTCCCCAGCGTCCCACAAACTATCTAAACTATCCAATCCCATTCTGGCTTAAATACCCCAAACAGGAACTCCACATTATACATAAAGGTTTCTCTTACATATATATATATATCTATACAAGCGCACATATCTGTGTTTGTGTGTCTTCGTTTTCATATATCTATATGTATTACGATGGGTGCCGGTACTCGTAAGCAGCCAACGGAGACAGGCACATCAGATCCTACCCGCCCCGGAAAGGAGTCATTTGTCAAGCACGACAGTCCTTGGAATGTATTTTATTTCTCATGGCAAGTTTCAGCAGCAGACAGCTGTAGCTTCGTCTGGGCGGGCGGTCAAGACAGCAACGCAGGACAGTGAGCAGGACAAGCTTGGCTGACGGAAGGTCCGTGGACTTGGCCCGGCACCTGGGGGCACGCACAGTCGCGCCATCGTGAGTCATCCACTTTGCTCTGCAGGATGTGCTCTCTGTTCGGGCTCCCGAAGCAAAGGGGAAGAACAAGGTCTTCATGCTCTTCGGGGCGTTCCCGACTTGTGCTGCTGCTGCTGCTGCGGTGATTAGTGATTGTCGTGACCGAGTTGAGATGCTAGCAGGGCTGCAAGTGGGCCATGTTTCTTGACGAGTGTCATCTGGACGATGTGCGTGATTGCTCCATACCCAGGTCAGTACAATAAAAAAGTGACGAGGGAAGCTTATTCAAGTGAGTGACTGATGCTTCGACAGCTCATTTGGAGAAGCCATGGCCAACCACAAAGCCAACCAATCAAGAAGCCTGACTGTAGACTGCTTCAAGATTTTGGACGGGTTGTGAGGTACAGCCTGGTGGATAACGGCTTCATGAGTCTTAGCCTATCGACCATGTTCGACAGCATGTAGCGGCCATTTGCGAAGCGTCGTGGAGTGCGCTTGCCGCGGTGGGGATGATATGAACAAGGCTTGCTGGGAGGGGTGTTTTGTGCATTGACTTAGGAATAGATCACGCTTTGTGTCGGCAAGGTTGTGGCCTTGGAAGAGGACCTGAGGCACCCGCATACCCTATCGGCTGAGGCGCGGAAATTCCCGCTTGCATCGCTCGGCCAGCACTCGGCCCAATCAGAAGGTGTTTACATGGTGGATTCTGTCTTGAGGATGTCTTGGCCCACTTCCACGTCAGTTTGGAGACCGGGCTCACCCACAGTCAGGCAGCAAGCTCGAGGAAGAAGCCTCGATACGCGACAGTTTTCGCCAGAGGTTGTTCTGGCAGGTGCTCCAGCAAAGGCTGCGCCATGGCCCGAACGAATTGGCGGAGGAGGTCTCCGGGAGTCGAAATGAGAGAAGGTCGAAGCAGACCTGGATCATCACGGACAGGAGAAGAAGTCCCTTTGGAAGCTGATCCTGGCTCAGTTCGAAGACTTGTTGCTCAGCTAATTGGTGGCGGAGTGTTTGTAAAAGAGATGAGCGCAGTGCGACCACGGGGGCCAGCGTGGACTAAGCTAGAGTGCCTTCCGCCTCCCGCCTCAACCTAATGTCTTGGTCCAAAAGCTTGCAGATGGACATACATGAGCATCAAGTGAGTTCAAGTTGATGTTGGATGCAATGCATAGAAAAGCCTGGGCGGCTTGACCCGGAGGGGCGAAGTTTCAGTGCGAAGGCTAGTGCGAATCCTGCTGGTCTCTGCGGTGGTCTCGTTCGTCTTGGCTGCGCTGGACGAGAAAAGTAGCGAGGCCTTCGCGTCTGAAGAATTCCGCACACCATGGGGAAGTGCACCGGCGATGTCAGCTCAACTGTGTTTTGACTGGGGCATAGATCTCCGACCTGACGTCAGGAAGGGATCACTGCATTCGTTGAGCCGCCGCTTCGTCGCTACAAATGCCTTGGAGCCCTCACAGCCTTGCAGCGACTTCCATGTTTGCTCAGTCTTGTCTAGTTATTGCTTGTGCTGACGTGATGACCGGAGTCCAATTCAAGCTTTGTACAACTGGCTGCTACATGCAAGGCTCGTCATCCTCCTCATCCTCATCGCGAACGCGTTCGTGACTTGCGCAACCATAGCAAGGGGAGCTACTCTATATAGGTCACGTGGGCATATGGTCAATGTCTGAAGTCCGACTGCGCTATGTGCATGACGCTGCTTCGAATGTACGCTCTGGAGTTGCATCACTTGCATCCCGCAATAGATGACAGTAGCAGTGTTTTCTTAGGTTGGTGTTTGGCAAGAGTCCAATGCGGAGAAGGCGCTGGATGCTTTGAAAAGGCCGGACGGACGGATTCCTGCACTGAAGCTATCTCAAAGACTCGGGTTGATTCGGTGGGATCACGATAGATGTCGGGGGACCAGGCTACAACCCGACACGGCAGCTGTCCTTCGTGATGGGTGCTGGACTGATCTGGAGAAGGGGCACGTTCACAGAGAATTGCTGCGACACAAGTCTAGCGTACCGCGTGTTGGCCCTGGCCATCCAGGACAACCGTGAATGCAGCTGGCCTTGTTCCTGGGGACGTAGTACAGGTGCCTTGCCAGCTAAGCGCATTGCGACCTCCTGAAGCAGTGCATGAATGATTGCTTGAGGTCAAGGTTGGTGACAAAGTTCCAGCAGATCTTCGCGTCGCAACCCTGAACAGTACGACAATTCGCGTCGAGCAGCTCCTTGTCAGAATCAGAGGATCGGAAAGATTCCTCAATCAAGCTGCGTGGCAAGCCCAGGTCGCAGCTAACGGGCGAATCTCAAAGCGTTTCCAAAGACCCGGCCATGTGCCTGCCTCTAGAGACCATCATCCAGGGCAAGGCCCAGCAAGGGACCATTTCTTAGACTCAGATAGGGACCTACTGAAGCATGTTAGAAAGTCTTCAGGGGAGTTGGCCTTGGGCAGGTAAATATGCTATTTGCCTCTACGACGATTTCCAATGGTGCGTGCATGGGTGTGGTCACTGCAACGGGAATGGCGACTGAAATCGGAGCGATCCAGGAGACCTCGCTGGTGTTGATGTGCCCGCGCGAGCATGGCTGCATGCTGTGAACACTTGCGGATGGAGGATGCCGTGCAGCTGGCAGCGGGCGAAGAGGCGAGTAGGTTTGAGTTCGTCATCTTTGATCAGGTTGCCGTTTTTGCCGTCGTCCAGTCATCCATGCGCCTAGAGAGACCGAGGAACCTGTTTTGTTTGAGCAGCTGTTGCCAGGGCCAGCATAGCTCTGCATTGTGTTTCCATTGCGTGCACTATAGGGTAGTCACTGGCACGCGCTCCGCGTTCCGAAGCTGAACCACCCTGGAATCCCAGTATCCCAGGCTTCCTTACGATCAGTAACAGCAAAAGACTAGAAAGCAGCTGGTCCAGCTCGCGCATAGCGTCAGCTATCTCGACGATCGCCGCATCGGACCTCGAAAACTAGGACCTACAAGCGTAGTGCCAGGAGCAGACACCCCTGCAGCAAAAGCTGGACGATTTCGGCAACTTGCTGGCCAAGGCGATGCTTTCCATCTGTGATCTGTTATGCAGTCGCAGTAGACGTATGCCTTCTTCATCTTTGGCGTTATACCCCGGCATCGGCATTGGAATTTAGGGCTCGGATTTGGAAGACCTCCCCTGGACTCCCATCAAGTCTCATTGCTCTCGGGTTCCAGGTTATCTTTGCTATTTGCCTCTTGGTGCCAGCCTCAGACTGACTGACCTTCTACGTGTTCGGGAACCGATAGTTGTCCTGCTGACGCAGCATGACCCCTGCTCAGCAGTTTGCCTCAGGTGTGGCTGATCAATTACAAGCACTTCTTCGATCCCGTCCATGGATCCGTGCCCTGGCCAGTGTAAAAGCAGCAGCAGGGCAACTGCATCGGATCCGGCTGCACTTTAGCAATATTTTTGCGGCTTGTCTCTGTCAGACAGTGTGCAACCACTTGCTGCTTGGGTGCACATGTCTCAATTGCAGTTGCACAAAAAAATTGTTCAACACTGTTGTGCGGTCGATGCCCACCGTGATGATTGAGTTCATATGTGGGGGGCCTTAGAGGCAGGACTGGGTGACTTGGCGTTCCCGGCAAGATGCGGGGAATCATCCTGGTGGGCTTTGGATCTCTAACTGTCTGCAGTGGCATGAGGTAATCCGCGGCTGCATTTACTACTTCAAGCTGCTTGACTTCATGAGCAGGTAGCCTTCGACTCGTAACTCCGGCATCAGGCATACCAACAGGAAGCATCCAGTCGGTTCACTATCTGATTACCCGAAAGCTAGGACCGACTCACCTTAAAGACATGTCACATGGCCTGGCCGGTGCAGAGCTGGGCTCGAACCTTGACAGAGAAACAGCTCATCGTTGGAAGTTGAACTAAAGCCCCCTTCGACCCAACCATCTGCTCGACCCAACCCTCCCTGCATGGCATTGCAGCAGGCAGTTCCCTCAACATATCAAAACGCCTGATCAGTCCACAGTGCACTCGCTCAGAAACAGCTCGTCGTAGCGGCTGCGTGAGCATGGCACCACGGGGAAGGAGTCCTCAAGCCACCTCTTGTCGTCACCTGAACCGAAGCTTGGTGCACGAGATTCTGCGATGATCGTGTACCATCCAGGCAGGAAGGCCGAATCCCAGCGACCCTCCCATAACTTTGAGGTGATGCCACGTGCTCTCACCCTGCCAGGTCGATGGCACGTCGGCTTTGCATTCTCCTTAGCTGGCTCCGTGCTGCCCAAAGCCATGCTCTGGGGCATCCCCAGCGGCATCCTGGCAGTGGGGACACTGGGCTCAGTAAGAGGACAGGATTAATCTTTTGACATGTCGGGACATGGTATGATTGCGACACGAGAGAATGGGTTCGATCCATTGAGTCCTGGCTTAAGGCTCAGCCTTCTGATGAAGCAGCTGGAGGTTACAATGGACAACTTCTCTGTTTGACCCTTAGTGGTGCAAGCACCGTGCCCATTTTTTGGGAAGCGCAGCAACGGACTTGTTCCGTCTTTTGTGCTTGTGTCCGTATGTGCCATGCATGACTGAGTCCTTATTTTGATTTTGTTATCGTCTGACAGCATGCCACTCCGGCTCAGATGTGTGTCGCATATGTGCATGCTCAGGTTAGCCAAGCTTGGGCAGCCTACAATGCTACTTCGTTGCTCATTATTGCACTCCAGTGGATAAGAAGCGTGCCGACAAGCCGCAACAATCAGAATACCAATGTCAATTTGCCGCACTTGCCTTTCTCGGTTCTTTTAGTTGCTTAGTTGCCTCGAAAACCGTGTGTAAGTTTCAACGTTTTACAATCGCAGCCCCAATGGGTCTGATGCGTTCCAGACGTCTCAAGCATCTCACGCCAGCTGGCAACCCAAGCTAGATTTCCGAACTCACGTTTTTGAAGATGAAAGCGTAAGAGTAGTTAGTAGTTTTGGGCTTGCGGAGTTGAGATGCTTCGAACTTTGCGAAAAAGGCGCAGCCGCCTTAAGAAGCATCAACACTTGCAGCTTCGTGTCGTCGGATATGCTGAGAGGAACCTTCCAAAGCCACTGCCCGCAACGAACGAATGAGATTTACAGACTCAGAAGCAAGGCCATGCTGGCATTCCTGGTGGTCTTCCGGACCACCCAGGCATATTCCAGATACTGGGAAGGCCGCCGTGTGATGGGCTCCGGGATGGTGCATAATGGTGTAATGCCGATTCATGGAACACGGCATTGGTCGCGCAATGCTGCACAGCACACGAGTTTGATCAAAAGTGAGCTTCACCGACAGACTGTACGCACATCAGGCGCATAATGCATGTACCAGTCCCGGGCACGAACATCCAGCGTCAGCTCACAGCCATGCAGACTGTTTGCGCGTCAGGTGCCACGAAATTGAAGCAAGTGAGGGGGGAGTGGTTCGGTGCCGCATCCAGCCTCTTTGCCTTCTGCAGCAGAAAAGAGGAGAAGGAGGACAGCTATCCATGCTCACAAGTGACATCTCCATTGCTGAACTGCAGCTGCCTGCAACGCGGCACCTCACATCACTTTGAGGACGAGGTGGCAAAGTTTCAGCACCTGTGCCTTGGTTCAGCATCTGCAAGTGTATCGTGGCTGAGCCGGAATCCCAGGTGTTACAGTTTTGAATGTTCACAGTTTTTAAGTTTCAAGTTGGGATGGAGACGGTCGTAAACTGGGCCACTGAGCAGCGAGTATCAGCGAGTGCTACGATAGTACAGAGCTTGACATACCAGAGGCTCGTACAGGCATGAAAGTCGATAAGAAGTTAGATTCCAAAGCTTCCCCTTGCCAGGCTGGTCCGACTGGTATCCATGCTTTGGGCTACAGCCTTGGAGCAGCTAGCAGGCCATGATCTGGGCTTCGAGGCCTGCGTGCGACGCTGCATGCATTCATCGCGCGCAATCGCTGATGGTTCTTGTTTCTGCACTGGCAGAACAGCTAGGATGTTGTTCGAGCTCTTTGTCATTCTTTGTGCGAGTGCTTCGGGCAAAGTGCAAAATTCCCGGAGACGGTTGCAGCTGTGCTGTACTCAGCCAATGCCAGAACAAAGAATAGCTTGATTGCTGGTGGGCTGCCGAGATTTGGAAGCAAAACGAACCAGACGTCTGCAGTCTGCAGAAACTTGCAGTAGAGACTCCGCAAAAGGTTGCAGGTTTCTGCAAGCTCATAGCATAAACTTGCCGCCGGTTCGGGGAAGGATGGGGAAGCGTTTGCAGTGGAAAGAGCTTTTGCGACACCCTCTTGGTAATTCTAGAAATGCCCACAGAAACAACCTTCACTGCCTTGGAAGGTTTTGGATATCTCCGGACTCAGTTCAGCCACACGGCATTATTGGGGTGGAGTTTCGCCAGGGTCAGGATGACGGTTGACTTGACGTTACTCCGAAACCCCCGCCCGGCTAAAGACTCCAATCATGGCGTGGATCGCCAAAGGGCTTCGGTCAAGCCAGAGGTTTTCACTTAAATGCTAAACTATAGACCCTGCGGCCGGCATCCCCGATGAAGCCAGTGCAAGTCCTTACGGACATAATTTCCAAGCATGGTGGCATTCGCGGAACAGCGCACGTCCAAGACACGTTTGCCGGTAAGTGTAGCGGTGGCATGTCCTGCAAGTATTGGAGGAGAGTCTGTTTTCGGCGAGTTCGCCTCATTGGCATTGCACTGTCGGTGTTAGTCGTGTCCACATTCCATCCACATCATCCACGAGGTTTAGAGTACGCTGCCGTGATTTGTAGGAGAGTGTTGCCTACGTGCGGCAGCAGGAAGATTCTTGGCTGCAGAGAGAGTTTGTCCACATACGTCTGATGCGCTATGCATGTGCGGAACATCACTGCGGGTACAGCTCAGGATAAGTGCGAGGTCATACTGCAGTGGATACAAGCTGCTGTGGTCAACCACATTGCGCCCCAGCAAGCATATCAACTCAAGCCAGGGCTTCTTGGCCCGTGGCCGCACCTGCAACCATCCGAGGATTCGCACGTTCTGGACGTTCCGCCCCCCATCATCACGCGAGTCTTTCAAGAGCTGTCGCGGGGACGTGTTTCCCTGGAGCAGGTTCAGACAATCATAGATGCCGCTCCGAAGCAAGGATGGGACGAAATCAATGCATGCGACAAGCGGCCACGATCACGCTTGAAGAAGTCATGTCTGCACCATGTCGAATGAATCCTGGACTCCGTCAAGGGCAGTGCCGGTCCAGAAAAGATCGGTAAAACCTTCAGGGAAAGAAATCGAATCGGATCGGATCTAAGGTGTCCTTCCCTTTCCCATATGCGCAGATGATAGCTTTCGCTCTGATGGCGAACAGTTTAATTATGCCCGCAGCAGCCTCAGACCGGGAAACTGGAGGTTGTTCATGTCGGCTCGCATCCATCACGAATGCAGAGCCCAACGCGTGCAGCTGGAAGGTGCTTTGTGCCTCCGCGATGGAGTCGGAGGCATGGTGCTGGGGCATCACGACGATTAGCATCACTGCTGCCAAGCAGCGAGAGAAGGCTTTGGAGGATCAGTTCGGGAGACGAAAGGTGTTGTGCACGATGTTCACAGTCACTAGATCTCGTGAACGTGCACTCACTGTCGGTAGCATGTTCCCCTCCTGTCCCTTAGGCTCTTTGGGGAGTGAACTATACCGCCGGCGAACTCGAGAATCCGTGACTCAGCGAAGTCTGAAGCAACAGCGACGGTTTTGCTGCGCAGCCGTCACATCACATCACAGAGCAGAGGTTCAATGATGATTGGAACGATTTGCCTTTGAGGGACTACTGCGAGGAGTTCCATTTGTTGGGCTTCGCCGAAAAGCAGGTATAGCGAGAATGTCTCTTGTCTCTGCTGCAACCATCAGCAAAGAGCACAAGCACTTCATGTTCAGATCAGGGTCTCAGGCGTGCCACACGCACGAGGGTGGTGCGATATGCGCCCGTGGTGACCTGTGCAGGTTGCTAATTGAGCAACCGGGAGGGATACCAGCTTGCACAAGTCTCAATTCGCTAGCAGACTCGAGGCTTCTGCGGAAGGGGTGCTTTTTGGAATGTTCCGCTGAGCGACGGCGCGACATCCTTCTTCTGTGATTAGACTGGCAGTGCCCGGCGGAGCGATCTGAGTAGATGCGTATGCCCAGAGACACGGCTCGAACCACCCAGTGCCCAGGAGATGAATCGCAGCTTGTCCAGGCTGCTGCAGCCCGTGGTTTGCAGGCGTGGGCCGCAGTGCACAAGAATCTCAACGACCCAGGCAGAAGGCAAAAACTGTCAACACTGCATTGTAGGACCAGGGAAAGCATGTTCCAGAATCATCCCAAAGTAGCTGATGATTTTGCACCACTTTCAACACGCGATAGAAGCCGAACTGCGAACAGATATTGACGTTGAGACATGTTGAGACACCAGGCTTGTATTTTCGACGCAAACACACAGGTTCGACAACAGTGGGCACAGTGGCAAATCTCGACACAATCGACGCACTACCGCACCTGGCACGTACCCGTCGTAGCTCCCAGAGCCGGGGGTGTTGCGTGTCAGCACAGGAACCGACTCCCCAGAGTTTAGTCAGACTCGGTTTCCAGAGGTGTCCAGAGCTCGAGCTGGCAGAGCCATGGCGCAACAGACTCACAGGCGGACAACAGATGCGACACAGTCCCAGGCTGGCAGAAGGTTCAAAAAAGCTCCTAATCGGACCGAAGACCAAGGACTACAGCAGCGTGAGGACGCAGAACTGGGGCCTTGCGAACAGGACTCGGGCAGGGCTTCCTCACCAGTGTCGCCAGGGGGGGGGCTCTTTCTGCCTCACGTAGATGAAGGACGGCGGTGGAGAAAGATGTGCGGGCAAAGTCGGCCTCGACAGCAAAGCAATCACAGATCACCTTGCGCCAGCGCCTCTCGGAATAAGCAGACACCAAGCGGGTTTTCAACATTTCGCGGTCCTGTGCCCGAGGATTCCTTCGCAGCCGGAAGAAGAAGGGCCCCACGGCGAACGGAGTTTGGGTTTTTGGCCTAGTCAGGTTGGAAAAGGCGACATATGACCTGAGGTGCCCAAAGCACCGCAAGCATGAGCACAGCAAGCTTGGTGGACGAGGCAGAGTAGCTTCGCAGTCTGCCTGCGTGCGCTCCCTCTCTGAGTTGCCGCAGTTTGCCAATGCCTGTGCAGAACACCCTCCTAACAGATATCCTTGCAGCGGAGAACTCGCGCCTATGCAGCACACGAGTTTTACGGATGTCGTCAGATTTTCTGTTTGGTTTTGCTTGCACGCCAGTGCCAAGCTTTCGGCGTTTCGAGTCTCGAGCTCGTAGAGCAAGCCTGGGTGTCATCAGTCTACATGACTGCTTTGTTGGAAAAGGACTGCCCCCAGCGTACCATCCGAGCTTGCCGTTGAAAAGGCCTGGCCAGCACGCTTTGCACTGCCACTGCTCGAGAGCCCATCCTGTGGTCCAGGCTGCAGATGCCTCGGCTTCGTGACCTGGCCAAGTCAAGTGCCGTCCCTCCGTGCCGGTTTTCCCTCTGGCATCTTGCAAGCGCTGCACAAAGTGCACTTTGCACTCCGTCGGCAAAGGAGCACTGGCTCTGTGATCGGCAAGCCCGCAGAAGACTCCGAGCCAGGCATGAGGGTGTAGCCAGCAAAACAAAGGCCCCGGCCCCAAACCCTCAGAAGAAGATGGTGAACCGCATGCTACATGTTAGACACACATTAGAGGCAGTTGCCGCGCCTGATTGGCCAAGCTGTGGGAGCTGAAACCTTCAAACGAAGCGAGCGAGTTGCGAGAGTAGTGATTAACAGTATGTCGCCGATGGCAGTCTCGAGCTTGGTTTGCGGGATATGCTCTAAGTCCATAGATACTCCTTCGGAAGCATTGCTCAAGCTTCTGCTTCTCAGTGAGCAAATGCGATTAATAGCTTTTCTTCTTCCTAGCATGACACGTTGTGCCAGGCTCTTGTTTTAGGCTTTGCACTGCCTGCTGTAAACATGATGAAATCTTCCTCTCGGACGATTCGGGGATACAACGTTCGGCTACAATTAGCTTCCGGCCCCAGGCACAGCAGCACATGCCAGCATTCATCTTTAATTAAGAAGAGTCCCCCGATTGATTGGTTGGGCATCGCCAGGGCGGCTTTGTAGTCGACTGCGTTTGCATCGGCTGCCACATTTGATGTGTCAACCTACGGCAGCAGAAGTTACTACCATTACTTTCTCAGAAATCTTGCCGGAAGAACTTGCATCATGACTTCAGCATGGAGTGCAGGAGATTCCAAGGAGCCGGTCCAGCCGGTCGCCATCGAGGCTCGTGAATTCCTAGCGGCTTGCTTATAATGTTTTGTTTTGGCACGGAAGGTTGACCCAGAGGAGGCGGAGACAGAGACCGCGGAGATCGAAGCTACGAATCCCTCTCTGTACAAAGATTCGATCTGGACCTCTTGGTCGCTGTGAGAGAGAGAGAGAGAGAGAGAGAGAGAGAGAGAGAGAGAGAGAGAGAGAGAGAGAGAGAGAGAGACAGACGTTGTGGGGGTAGGCGTTCGGGCCAGGGTCCTTTCAGGGCCCATACCCCTCAGCAAGCAAGCAAGCAAGAGAGAGAGACAGACGATGATGTCACGTGTAGGCTGCAGCCAGTGCTGCTGGTCTCTCACGCGTAGGCTTCATTGATTTCATTGTCAGCGGCATCGGTTCGAGAGTCGGGAGGGAAGGCGTTAGCGGAAAGTCAGGCCTGATCGTGCCTGTGTAGAGCTTGGTCTTGCGAGTTCTCGTTCTCAAGGAACAAGGTCCCATTAGGTTCTGGGGATGACCTCGTCCAACAAGTCATCGACTCATCGAGTACTTCACAGCCCGGTCGATCCACCCAGTTGAAAGCCTAGACTGTTGAGCTGTCAGAGCCCAGCCCAGGGCAGCTGCGGTTACTCCGAAAGCTCCTTCAAAGAAGGGCCTGGCCGCAAAGAAGGCAGCCTTCCCACGTAAGCGCATGCTGACGTGAGCGTACGTGAGCCATTAGTTCAATACACTGGACTCGTTGCTTCAGAGAGACCGTGCCTTCAGCTAAGAGGTATTGTAAGGGGTCAGTAGAAATTCAAACTCGAGTCCGCGAGACTTCCAACGACCAGGCCGCTGAGCCCAAGCGGAAGTCGGCCGACCCCAGCTCGAGCTCGAAGGCTGTGCTCTGAAAGTTTCCATCGCGCTGTCCTGTGCGCCTGTCAGGACAAAGGAGGCCCAACCCAGAAGTCCAGTCCCGGACAGCTCCAGAAGAGCAGGAGACAGACTGAGGGAGAGAAGATGCTGAACAAGTGCATCTAAGTGCGAGGGCGCAGCTCCCGAGCCTGGAAAAGGCGCTCGTGTTTTGTGTTTGGACTACAGCGAAGTCTTAGATGCGCAGGAGCCGCATGGAAACGAACGATGCAGAGTGAGGTCCTGAGGCAGGCGGCCTGGCTGCCTGAGGCTTCAGGAACGGAAGCTTGCGAGCAGAATAACGGCCTTTTTTTGGCTTCAGAACTGTATATGCCAAGTGGCCCCATGCCCGTCTAGGACGTCCATGCCTTTCCAAGTCTAGATCGGGAAAGCGGGCGGCCGCGATAATGAAATGTGGCAGGATGCCCGGGAGCCTCTGCAAGATGGGAAGGCATGTAACCATGCAACCACGATTCAGCCGGTCCCACCAGTCTTGCCATGGTTCCCGGGAAGTCATCCTGAAAACCTGCGTTCAAGAGGGATCCCCAGGTTGATCAACACGACAGCACGCGGGCCCTGGAGATCCGGCCGGCCTAGTGCTGCGAGGTTGTGGCTTGAACTTGGCCTGCCCATAGCCTTAGCATCAAAGTGTCTGGAAAAGTACTTGGTGAAAGAAAGCACTATCGACGTTCGTGGAGTTGCAGGCAGGCGTGAAATTAACCTGCGGCCCAGAGCTAATACTCCCGGCATGCATTGTGGTGGGGCATGCCCTTGACATTCACCGAACGGTGCTGTCTGTCTTCGTTTCAGAAGATGTTTTCCTCACCAGAGTTTTGCGCACGTGAACGCAGAATGCGCTATTTATACTAGCTATCAGTGCCGGACCCTGAGACTGAGCGGCACGAAACATGAGCTGCTGGTTCCGGCTTTTTGCGATGTCAAATCCTTCGATTGGGGCAAAAGTGTTCGCACGCTCTTCTTGTGCTGACTTCCTTAAGGCCTGACTGAAGCGGCTCAGGATTGCTGTTGCTCTTGCTGTCGCTGCCATCCCAGAAGGCGAAAGCAACCAGTGCTTGCAACCTGTGTGGATGGGTTAAGACTCTTAAGAGTTAAGTGCGCAGCATAAGTGCAGTGGTGCTTGAAAGCGCTTGGCTGGAGGCCTGCCAGCAGTGATCACGACCTGCCTCGCCTTAGGCATCTGCAAGCCAGGGGGTTGGTGGGGTGTTCCGCGAAGGCACACGTTTAACTGTGGGCGACGTCCCATCATGCCATTCTTCTTTTGGCTGGCCAGGAAGGGTATAAGTTGGATCCTTGATGGTGCCGGTTTGGAAGCTGAGTTTCCGGGTGGTCATCTGCAAGGCATAAGAAGGCCATTAGCAACCTGACTCTTGTTCTAGGTTTGGGATGATGACTAGGCTGGAAGTCCCAGCAGCAGGAAGGAGAAACAACGTGTCATCCCATGCTTCGGTTCCACCGGACGGCCAGTGCGAAACGGGTCTGTTTGCCAGGCACAAGCGAGATGGCGAAGAAGATCCTTGGTTGCGCGCTTTCTCCACCGCAGGGCTTGCAAGCCCAGCTGTAGCAAAGTCTCCAGTAGCCGGAGATGTTTGCCCACACTGTGCAGCAGGTCCAAGGCCAAGGCTGCAAATTCTCTTCGCGATTGGCAGCTGATCTGACTCAGCCTGTCCTGCACTGAGGAATGCCATTGTGCGGAGACTGCCATCCGTGGAAACATTGGGCTGCACATCTGTGCCACGGCACTGATCGGATTCATGGGGAAAGGGGTGGTGTGGACTGCTAGCGCAGTGGAATGCTCTTCAACGTCTGTCCATCCACACGAAGTGCTGGATCTTTGGCCGTGCAAATGTCTGATGTATCATCTGCACGAGCTGTTTTCATAGCGGCCAAGGTTATCTGTTCTGACAAGACTGGAACTCTGACCACAAATGTGGCGTGGATGCATAGTGCCCGCATGGTTTGACATGATCTAATTGAGAAGTTTCGTGCTTGAAGGGCATCGGACACCCGTCATATGCACGTCACTGCACGCCGACAGATTTGATGCTGGTACGGCTTGCAGAGGCAGAGCATAGTTCTGATGGGCCATTGCTGTATATTGCTGTCTCATGCCGAGATGCTCAGGAGATGTGCTGCACACGGCTGGTCCTTCCAAAATCGAGTGCCTCTACTGCAGTTGATCTGAAGCTTTGATCTTCCGAGCCGCGGCGGTCCTTCCAGGTTCTGAGATGGTTTCCTACGTTGTGGAGGGACACAGCTACACACCTGTAGGGTTCGTCCAGGGCTTGGCAGAAGTGGCCCCTCGTCTGCACTTCCTGAAGCGCTCCATGCTCCACGGCCGGACGTGACATCAGCCCATACAGGATTGGCAGCAGCAGGGCAGCTTGCAGGCTTTTGCGAAGATTGCCGCGCTCTGCAATGAATCCAGGTGCGTAGTACCAGTCGGTTTCGCGCTTTTCATTGCTTCGCCTTGACCCCTCCAGACTACAGGTTGGAAGTCGAGGCTGGGTCCTTCCGCAGAATCGGGGAGCCCACCGAGGCGCGGGGCGGCTGACCTGCACTAGGCTACAGATTGCACAAGCCAGAGGCGGCCTTGCTGACTCTGGTGGAGAAGCTCGGCGTGCCCGACCCGTCGCTACATGGCCGCTTCGTTGACATCATGTTCCCACCGTTCAGTGGAAACGACTACTCCGTTTTTGCAGCGGAGGGCCTGTGCGATTCAGCATCTTTGTTGGGGCTCAAAGTTCATGTCGGTAGGGAAGGGTTTAGCTTGACGACGAGCTTGTAGACATGCAAGTCCTCCAGGAAGGTGCTGGCAGAAATCACGCCATCGCGAAGATGCCATGGCCTTTTGCAAGTGACCCGGGAATTGTCCAGGGTTCTTGAGTGAAGCAGTTGCACTGCTCGCAGCAAGAACATTGAGAGCTGTGTGCTCAAAGCAGGGAGGCTACTGGAAGACACGCTTAGATTTAGGTTGCTTGATGCCCATGGCCTTGTTCGCTACCGTCCTCGGACAATTGCTGCTGGGTGCAGCTGCCAGCTCTATGTATTTGGAGTCCATGTGCCGCGGCCAGATCTGCGAAACTCCCCAACATCCGATGCTAGACTACGATCCAGACGAGAAGTGGCTTGTGCGGCAATAGTTGCTGGCTTCTATCGTGTTCCGTTGCGTCGCCGTATGGCATGTGGCAATGACGGTTCGAGGAAGTGCGTGTGCCGGTCACACCCGTGCTGGGACGACAGTGGGCTTATCCACAGTTGTCCAGATGCCGCGATGCCATACCTTGTGTTTCACTACGACCAGGCAGGGCCTTCGAAAGGACTTAGACTGCAGTCGCAGCTTTGCTCGAAGCAAGTGTGATGCAAGTACAGTCCAAAGTCCCAAACCGACGACAAGCCAAGCACCAGCTAGCTTAGCATGCAAGCAGGATCTGAAGCTGAAGTGTGAGTGTGCGACGCATCCATTCTTCCAAAGCGTGGCTTGGCTGCACCTACTGGAATCAGACAACAGTGTTGCGAAGATCAGATCTGAGTGTACCACTCCTTTTGTGGGACCCGGGAACTGGTGCTCCCGGATGAGGGGCCGTTGCTAAGTAAAGCCTACCGCCAGGAACCTAGAGCGAGTGAAGGTGTAAAGCCGCAGTCGGACACGCGCAGGTCTATTTGAGCAAGCACTTGTGCAAAGATCAGTTTTGCCGGGACGAGAAATTTCCGATCCTGGACTACAACGACAGCACCAAGGAGCCTTGACTGCTTGCCTTCACCAGGTTACTCACTCGACGCCCCATGTGATAAGACGAGATCTAGGGGTGGTGATGTGATGAAGTCTGTTTATTATTTGAGTAAAACATGTTCCCAAGCCCTAAAGAGCTTTCCGGCGACAGTTTGCGGACAGCGACGGAAAGTCAGTATTTGCCAACCCATGCTGCCAAAACAATCACGAAATTTGAAGATATCCGACCAACCTTTGGCGGGCAACCTGAGGCGGGGGGTTTGGGCAACACGACAGCCCGCTGCTTAGATCCTGGCCAGAGAGGACGTAAAGTTTGGCCTTCTAAGTGCAGCCGACCCCTCCGATCGATCGACTCGCAAATAGAACTCCGTCGGATGATTTCCCCAAATTCTGTACCCCGGGCATTGTCGATCTGAGCAACCAGCCGAACACCAGTCAAAAGTTTCTAGCACAAGACGATTGCAAGGAGTGCTTCTGCAGAGCGCATCCCTGTTGGGACATGGATGGCCAGACGCATTCTTGCCCGAATGACGACTTCCCTGTCTTGCGCCACTCAGCTCAGCTTAATTCGTGGACTTCGTGGGTAAGTGTGCAGCTTGTCGGCAGCCCCTTCCTTGTCATGCCAAAGTCAGGATACCGCGAAGACAAGGATGAGAAGACCGGCGAGACGAAGACGGTCTGCGACTGTGTTAAGAAGATGGTCCCGCCCAAGGACGAGCTGTGAGAAATGTTTGTGTCAACCTCGTACAGTAGCAACGGCACGTCAATTCAGGGTCAGCCACAGACGCTGCACCAACGACAACGCGCGGAGCGAGAGAAACGGCCAGACGCAAAAAAGTGCTTGCTCCACAAATGCACCAGCTTTGAGAACCGAGCACATGCAACACCAGTCATTGAGGACATTTGAGGATGCTCTGGCAGTGTAGAAGTAGAACCGCGAGGTACTGGACCTCGAACGTGCAGAAGAAAGCCACCCTCGAGTTCACTCGTGACCGCAAGTCCATGAGCGTGCTTTGTTCCGAGGCCAGCGGCCTTGTTTCTTCATTCGATCTGACATTAAAAACTGCTTTAGCGCACCGGTCGATTCAGCAATCACAATCTCTTTCCCTGGTTTGCGGCACACCAAAGCCTGGCAAGGCCGGATTGGCGTCAGGACTGCATAGTCACATAGTTGCAGAAAGCCTGAGAGGCTTGTGGCAAGATGCTCTACGTCAAGGGAGCTCCGGAGAGTATCCTTGAGCGATGCTCGAGCCGCCCTGCTGCACTCAGGCGCGGAAGAGGTGATGTTCGGTCGAAAAATGCTCAGGCATTCTCCTCCCCGGGGGCCCTGTGGAGCTTTCTGCAGCCGGACGTCAGGCATAGCTTCTGATATCTCTGTCACCACCATGTTGAGCTGTGCTGGTCAATCAAACCACTCATGTTCCAGGCTATTCGCAGCAGCTTCGCCGCCTTAGCCTCCGAGGCTCTGCGCACCCTGGCCTTGGCACAGCGATCCAGCGCTCCGGCAACAAAAGCATCGCTCCAGAATGAAAGGAGAGATTCTTTTGAGGAGGAAGCCGTGGAAAGGCAAAGCAGTGGTACACGAAGCGGTGCACTCACCGGTGCATCGTTTCAGGATTGATCGGATCAAGCCCTGGGCCTTGGGGGAGGGGGGGGGGGGGTGGGGCGGTTGGGTCAGGACAGAGTCCCACACTGTCTTGTGGTGGTATGCAGAAGGTAGGAAGGCTCCAAGATGCTTCGTCATAGCAGTCGGAATTCTGCGCTTGGAATCTGCAGCACGCCACCCACTCCGTAACGCAACATACATCACATTTGGCCTGTTCTGAGCTCTGCTTCAAACCCCTAGAAGTTGTCATTGGAATTCTGTGGCCTGAGCTAGAAATCCATGGACTGAATTTGCGACGAAGTTGCTCAGGTTCCGAGGACATTCTCTCCTCGCAGCTGCTCCGAGACACCTGGCTTGGAAGCCCCCCAAGAGTGCCCTGGGGCCTGTCCTCGGATTTTCTGCCGAGAGTGGCACAGCTAGCAGTGAGTAAAAAAAGCATTGAAAACCCCCCAATCCCCGTTTTGCAGACAAGGATCCTGCCAACTTCGTCCAGGCCGTGCACAAGCACTTGCGCGTGTCTCCGGGCATAATAATATGTACGAAGATATTCGAAGACGGTAGTGGGTGCAGCTGGACGTGTGTATACCTTCTGTCAGGTGCCTTGTGCTTGTACCGCTTGTGCAGCTCAAGCAACCGTTTGTTGTGCAGAGCTTTCACTCCACCTGCCATGGCGGCCTGCCTGCGGCAAAGAATCGTGGCCAGAATGCATAATGCATAGGGGGTGATTTGCAGACAGAAAATACAACATGCAGCAGCCGCTGGTGACATCAATCTGGCTTAGGATTGCACGATTTGTTGAGGTTGAGGTTTGGTTTCGAGCGCGCTGTGCCTCCAACCAGGCACGGCAGGTCAACCTGCTTCACCGCCCTCTGGCTGTTTTCAATGCCGTGAGGCCCACCAGACACAGCTCTTGAAGTCTTCAAGCTGTAGCCAACTGCAGTCGAAATGTCTGTCAGTCTGTCCGTCGTGAGATCTGACATGCAGGTGAATCAGGTGCGCAGGTCGCGACTGCATAAGTCAGCTCTGGCTCCGTGCAAGGCACATCTCCAGGGAAAGATACAGCAAGTTGCACCAAGAGTCGATTGCAAATCCAGAAGGCGGCGTAGCCTCAGCAGCAGTGAGCCTTGCAGCACCGCATCGGTCGCCCGAGTAAGACTGAGAGTTGCCAGCTTGGCCGGGCCAGTGGACGGCGCGGTGCTGCTTTCCAGACACAGAACATCCGGAATTGCAGAGTTGCAGATACCGGGATCACTTCTTCACAACACTGAACCGTGTCAGGGTTTTGGTCGCGAGCTGCAGCGGAAGTCTCTTGGTCCAAACCATGGAGTGCCGCTGCTTGGCTCAGCACCAAGCAATGGGGAGTTTATTTGGATCCGCATTTATTTGGATTAGGTCACTCCTGCAGAGCACCATGTCTGCAACCAAGGTTCTCGACAGCAGCAATCCGCCATTCTATCGCTGGTTTCCAGGACAAGCCGTCACCGAGCCCCTTTGGTTTTGGATGCTGCCGGATCAAGGAAGCGGCGAGGTACAAAGCACCAAATACAGTAGTTCCAGGTTTCGTATGTAATTGTTCGGAACTACTACACCTCGTTTCGTGTCGAAGATGTTAGTCCTCTCCTTTTGTCGTTCTTGATGGGGTCACCAGGAGCCCAGCTGAACATGTGCTACAATGCCGTCGACAGGCATGTTGAGGCTGGTGACGCGCCCGCACAATAGATTCAATAGATGTTTGCACGGCGCCTGCTTGAAGCTCAGAGCGCTTGGGACGATATTGATCGATGTTGTTATTGTTCTTCTGTCTATGGCCGTCCGTGGTGCAATGATTCGTGATGTACAAATCAACTGCTGAAAGCTTTGCAGCTTGGAGTTTATTTCGCAGCATCAGAGCAAGGACGTGGTGGCAGTGATGCTCTGATCTATGACTCACCTCTTGCTGGCGTGCCGTGGATCTGCAAACGTGTCATTGCAACAGCGGGTGTTTGACGAACAGTGGGATGGCATCGTCAAGTCTTGCAAAATCGCCACTTCCCAGCCTACAAGAAAAACACGAATCTGGAAGCCCCGTGCCAGACAGTATGATCTCTTCTTTGGAAAATACTGGTGCTGCTTTGCACAATGTGGGTCGATTGCTTGTGACAGTGCAGGCTTTGCAGATGCATAATCAGGAGTCAACTTCTTCCAGTTTTGGTATGGGAGATATGGACTTGCAATGTCCATTCCCCCCAACAAGCAGGAGAAAGGTCCACAAAGCTATCATCAAGCACAGAACCAGCGATGTTGCCACCAACCACCGCCAGACTCAGACTACTCTGGTTCTGGACGTTGGTCTTTGCAGAATTCTGAGCACGTAGGGTTGGAACTCGCCGATTGAATTCACCGAGAATTCGAGGTTCTCTTAGCGCATGCTTGAGGTGAAGAAGACCTTCACTTACTCGGAGCTTCAGAGGGAGGCCGTGACCTTGGAAGGCGGCCAGCGGCGAAGTCATCGTTGCCACATGTGAGGTCAGTAGAACTGCTGGTGCACTTGCCAAGCTGGGCATCGGCAAGGGCGACCGAGCGCTTTCGAAGCAAGAAGAGGCTTTCTTACTCCCGGGACAGGAGCCCAGGGCAGGAGCACTCCGGGCCGGGAAAGCTGCTAATTCTGAGGTTGTGATCTACATGCCCATGATCCCAGAGGCAAAGCTCCAGGTTTTCCACAGCTACAGTAGCTACCAGTAGCGACTGCTGCTTGTCTGCCTACACCAAGCGCGCATCGAACATGCAGGCAGTGTTCGCAATGTTGGCCTGTGCCCGCCTCGGCGCGCCGCACTCCGTAGTCTTCGGGGGCTTTGCCGGGTGCTTTGGCGGCGATGAGATGTGAGAAGAGCCCGTCGCGGCGCTGTCATGCATCACTCCCTCTCCATTTCAGGCCAGAGTTGGCCACTCGCCTGGAGGACTTCCAGCCCAAGGCGGGGACGGGGGCGGTGGTCCCCCCGTCGACTACCGTTGCCCTCTTTCGATTTGGGAAGGCCATCATCTGGTCTTCCTGTGGGCTGGAGCCCAAAGGAGCCAAAATCGCGGCACCGTCTCGCTTTTGCTCAGAGTCCTTCAGCCAGGACCTGTGGAGTATCAGCCTATGATCAAGGAGGCTTTGGAGCTGGTGGAAATGACTCCCTCGGCCACACTGCAAGCGCTTAGAATTAGAGGCGAGGTGGAATGCAGTATTTCAGCCCAGCCGTGTTCGTGTTCTGGCGGGCAAGCAGCCAAGGTCCGAATCTGCAAACAGCGGCCCGAAGCAGCGGCTATTTTGGATGGAGACCTGGAGAGACCTGAGGGTTTTGCCCGCTTTTTCTACGGGTTGTGGAGTTGGGCGACTGCTTGCTATCTTGAAGCTCTGAAGCAGATCCCGGCAACAGTCGCCTCTTCAAGCAAGCCGCGTTCAGCTCAACCTGCTATCTTCACAGCCTGTCCACTCTGGAAGCTGTTTAGGTTGGAGGCTGAGGGCATTGAGCTAATTCACCCTCGTCTCCCGGGCATTTGGACCCAATAGATGGGTGTTTACTGTACAATGAACAACAAATGTACGCCGCGCTCCTTTCCTAAATGTGGCGAGCGTGAGCGTCGAAACCTTGCCTGGAAAGGGGCACTTGAACATTTCTAGAGTACAACGGGCCGCAATTGAATAAGCGACCGATTTTCAGCGATCGGAAGCACCTGAACACTTCGGCCTGCAGGACTGGGATGAGGCCCTGGCAGCTGCAGAAGAAGTAGCCTGCGCAGCTCGTGCGAATACTGCGCGGTTGATATATATATATATATATATATATACACGCATAAACACACACACACATTAAAGAACAAAGTAAAACATACTTAGGGAGGGCAGAACCGAACATGTTTAGCAGTTCCTGCACTACAGCTTGTCTTTGTGCGGGATGTTGGTCTCGATCGGACGATTACAACAAATGCGGAAGGGGAGGAAACCACGGCCCACGCTCGTGACAGTAAGGAACAAGTGGATGCAACTGATCCGCTGTACATGTGACCTGCCTGATCCGGGTCAGAGTGAAGTTGTCCAGCGGTGGTTGGGCCGTTCTTTGCAACGTGAGGTTATACACTTCTGGCTCTACCGGTAAACCCAAAGGTGTCTTGCGAGACACTGGAGGATACGCAGAGCCTTGGCTGTCAGGGGGGGGGGTGTCGTGCGCACCGGAGCTGAACGGGCTACGCCAGGTGGCCTTGAAAGCGTCGATGGCACAATTCATGAACATGGCTCCGGGTGAAGCATACTGGGCAGCTTCAGACATTGGCTGGGCAACCTTGCTGAAAGCTGACATCTCTACTGAGGTGGAGTTCCTTCGGAAAGTCTGAAGTAAGGTCGTAGGCCACTCATACATCGTTTATGGGCCTTTGCTCCAGGGATGCGCCACCGCCAGAATCTCAGAGAGAGCGTGAGACACAGAACTGTGCTGACAGAGATTTAGCCGCAGTCCATGTTGACAGCCATGGTCCCTGGAGGTCTTGTATGAAGGCAAGCCTATCGGCACACCAGATGCGGGTGCCTTCTGGCGAGTGGTCGAGGCGCTAAACCTTGATTGTAAAGCCACTGTTCTGTGCGAAACATAGAATTCTCCTACAGCAAGATGCAATCTTTTTCTCAGCAACGACCCTGGTATAGCACCTGCGCCTGGCCAGGAATATCAGGTCCGAGCCTTGTTCCTCGCACCAACAGCTCTTCGAGCTATCCGACGTGTGGACCCTGATGGCGCGCTCGTTCGCCACCCTGCTCAAGCTGAATCAACAGTTGATGGACGTTTGGCATGCAAGCCGTTCCATTCTGAGGAAAGTACAACTTGTCTTGCCTTCGATCCCTGTTCGTTGCCGGTGAGAGAAGCGATCCGGAAACGCCGCCTGGACTGCTTGGGGGCTACAGAGACTGGTCTTGAGACCACCGATCTAGACCGACTTCGCGATCATGACCAGTGATGGTGACCTAGAGACCTAGAGCTTTTTCCTCCATCCTGGGTCACACCTGACGGGCTTTCAGAGCGCAGCACGGCTGAAGATGCAAGCTAAGGAGCCGTTTCTATGCGTCGATACTGAATGTTGGCTACTACGACAACTGGTGGCAGACAGAAACAGGCCTGGTTCGATGAGACTCCGGCCCGACCAAAATTCTGCAAACCTGTCAGGGCACCCAATCTGCGGCCTGCAAGAGGATTCGGTTGGACGAAAGGAGATCTGGGCTCAACTGCTTAGTGGATGCAGGCCCGAGAAGGGAGTTGCAGAGTTGACTGGAAGGACGGTAGCGCCGGCTTACCGCTATTCGGCTACGATGTTGCCGCGGCTAAGCTCAAGGTGTCGTGCGTCTGTTCGAAGCCGGTCCGACTTCATGGTGGGAGCTCGGCCGACTGAAAGCCTATGTTCATGATGTCAAGGTTTTCGATGAGCGCGGGCACATCATGGAAGAGCCCAACCACGCCACCCGTCGTAATGCCATGATTCTTGAGTTTGTGAATGCCTCTTTATCGCATCTTGCGACAGTCAGAACGGGTAAGACTTGAAAAGGGTTGAGCGATCGGCCAAATTTGCTGCATTTCTGAAAGCGAAGGCTGGCCACCTGGTTGTCAAGTTGCCTTTGCCGCCTGGGACGTTTCCGGGCCTGTGGAACAATGACGAAGGCACACGGCAGCACATCTGTGGTTGCTTGAATTCGCAAAGCCGGACAAAAAGTTATTAACAACTATTACGAGAATTTTGGAGACCTGCATGCACAGTCCGCGCAGCGAAGGAGACAGAAGCCGAATACCGCAACCGACTCTGAAAGACCTGCTGCGGTCCCAACAGCACACCTTGAGACCCGCCCTGTCCAAAAGACGCGCTGCTGTCCTACGCGTCTTTAAGAGATGCGGAAAGAGCAAACAAACGCCCGCGTGACTATCGGATCATCGGGTTGAGCGGCAGGATGTTCTGACTTCTGACTGCCTCGCACATGAATGATTCGTAGCTGCTGCAACTTGCGACCCCTTTCGTGAAAGCAAGCGTGGTTCGCCGAACATCCTGCCAGTCTCAAGTGAACTTCCTTGGCAGGTTTTCTGAAAAGCTACCTGGAAGAGTTTCCCGGTTATTACAACAGCGGCGATTCCGGTGTAATCGACGACCATGGATACGTCAGCGTCCTGGAACGCATCCTGGTCGGCATTACCCATTCCGAGTGATATGTAAATTCTGTAAATTCGTGGACGTATAGGCACAAAGCCCAGCAACTCCTCAGGCTCCGAAACTCAATTGCCCCGGAATCCTGTCCAAGGGGTTGAACTTGCTCCATATAGGCTCTGAGCTACTACTGCATGATGATGAAGTGTTGGGTTGCCGAACTCCAGCGAGTCCTAGAAATAAAGGCTCCGCGAAGCGATTCGGATCGAGGCAGCGATGATGTGATTAACGTGGCAGCACATCGCCTCAGCTGCGGGCAGATAGAAGCATGCATCAAGGCACATCCAGCGACTCAACCGGCAAAAAGATGACAGTGATGTTGAGGGTTGGAGCTTTACGTAAAGAAGCATGCAGATCACAGGTAAGGGACGCCTTCAGCATGTTTCAGCCCTCCCACTGCGATCTTTGTCTGAGGATATAAACGATTGCGCCGTCGTTGGTGCCGCTGATGAGCTGAAGGGCCAGGTCGGCGAAGCAGAC